GGATGACCCCAGGGAGGAGGGAAGCGGGGACACGGAGCAGAGGCTGGGCACCCCGGAAAACAGAGGTCATGCCCACCTTCCGCATCATGTGGGCGGCGGCCTGCCAGCCCCGGGTGCCGATGTGCTTATTGAAGGAGATGTTAAGGTGGGTGGCCGACTCATAGTACTCGATCATGTCGAACAGGGCCGAGGCACCCTGAGGGCAGATGTGGGGCACAGCCTTAGGTTGGAGAGGCCCCAGGGAGGCATGTGGGCTTCCAGGAAGGGAGTCTCGGTGGGGGGGGGCACACACAGAGCGCCCAGCACAGGCAGGAGGGCTGAGCAGTGGTGGCCTACTCCTGGATCCAGCTCTACCCAAAGCAGGTATGGCCTGCGACTCTCCTAAAAGAGCCCCTTTTCTGACAAAGCCAGTTTTTTTGTGTCACTGAGTCCTGACTGATGTGCCACGTGACCAGCACAGGCCCTGCTCAGTTGCCAGCACCTCTCCTGGGGCCTGCAGGATCCTCCCCACACTCCCACGTATCCTGCGTTCCTGGGACTTCCTAGTCTGGGAGGTGGCGACACCTACCCGACTGGTAGCTTCCCAAGTGCTCCTCAGCCCTGCAGGTACTCTGGTCCCCAGGAGAGCCACCACCTCCCTGTGCCAAGCTCACCCAGCCTCTCCCGTGGGCCCCAAAATGCCACACCCATCTCTCTCTCGTCCTTTGTTTTGTCGGTACAGGGTCTCACTACGTAGTTCAGGCTGGCTTTGAACTTACAATGTAGCCCCTTGCAGCGATACTCCTGCTTCACCTTCCCAAGTGCTGATATTACAGGTAGAAGCCACCATGCGCAGCACCCTCTTGTCCTTTAAGAGGCCCTGCTCTTGTCCCACCTCCAGCCTTTGTCTGGGTCCCTTCCTCCTGCAGGGTCCCCTGCCCACCCAAACCTCAGAGGGGCCCGTGAGCCAGGGGTCCGTGGGTCTGGGTGGCCGCCGAAGTGCTCACATCTTCGTCCAGGTTCGTCTGCTCCAGGTCCACAACCTTGAACTGCAGCCTCTTGAAGACCTCTTCCAGCGCTTCACAGGCCTTGTAGTCCAGCTTCTCCCCTAGGAGGAGGCGGTGGCCATTTGCGTCTGTGCTTGCTTGTCGGGGTGGAAGGCCCTGCCCGCCGTGGCCCTCCAACACCTCCGTCACCCAGGCTCCAGCCCTGCTCACCACCCAGGGGCGCCCAGCCAGACGCCCACCTTTCAGGTCGAGGCAGTCGATGCGGTGCTCAAGGTCCGTGAGCTCCTGTGGAAGCAGAAGCAGGGTGAATGGCGCTCGGGCTGAAGATCTGAAGAGACTGGGCCACCTGCAGCCCCAAGCCAGGCAGGAAGGCAGTGTCCAGGCCCTGAGTTGGGACCCGGAGTATCCAGCCTTGAGGAGCCACAGGGTCCATAGAGGACTGCGCCCCGCCACAGCAGAGAAAGTGGGGGAGCGGGCAGGAAGGGTGACAGGGTCGGCTCAGGGATCTCGTGCAGAGGTGGCTCAGACACACACCCAGGCCCAGCCTTCCCAACGGCACTGAGCCTGGGCTGAGTCCGCCTCACCAGCAGCCCCTGCCTGTTCCTGGGCCTGGCAGCGTGGCGCCCCCTGCGACCCTCAGGAACCTCCCGTGACACAGGGACCTCGGCAGGCCTCATGAGAGGAAGGGCACCTGTGGGAGACCCCCTTACATAAACACAGACGCCGTCCCCGCCGGGACCTGGGCAAAGAAGGGTGGATTTTGTCCTTTATGTCTTTATTACTTTCGTAACCCACAGGCTTTTAAGGATACAATTTCCAGTTCAGACTTATGAGGATCGTAAGCCTGGCTCTTCCCCGGGAACAGACTTTCTCTGGGGGCCGAAAGACAGGGGACTCTCTCCCTGGCTGTCTTCCTATAAGGAGCTGACTTCCGGGACAGCCGCAGAGGCACCCCCGACCCACCGTACCTGCAGCTGCCGGAGCAGCTTGGGGATCTGCCTGCAGTTGAGCTTCTGGCAGGCCTGCCGGTAGGCACCGATCACCTCCTCCACCGTCACATTCTGGGCTACGGGCAGAGGAGCGGGCCGGTCACTCCACGCCTCACCCTGATCAGCCCTGTCCTCCCTTCGAGCCCCCTGGGGCCACTGCGGGCCCCTGGGAATTACCCTGGGTGCCCCCAAACCACCTCAGCACCGCCTCCACAATCACACACACAGCTCCCGGCACGGGAGGCTTCACACCAGCTCTCTCTCCACACACGGGCCCTCGCTCACTACCGCAGCCTCCACAGTTTTGTTGTTGAGACAGGATCTCCCCACACAGCCCAGGCCGGCCTCAAGCTTTCCACCTTCTTGCCTCAGCCTTCCAAGCGCTTGGGTCACAGCTGTGTGCTGGGACGTGCAGCTTCCACGCCAACGCTTCCCAGCACAGGGCCAGGTTTTCGGCAGGTATCCGGCACTCTGGCCCCGCGAGCCAACTAAGCTGGGAGAGGAGAGGCTCGGCCGAGGACACACAGTGGGCCGCAGCGGGGCCACACCGGAGCCCCGCCTCCATCGCGCAGTGGCACGAGCCTCTGACTCCCCGCTCCTGAAACAACCTCTGCAGCCGAATGTTCCCAGTGCTACTTGGGGACGGGCCTGTCCTGGGGTGTGGAAGCAGGGGGAGGCCCCCGGGTGACAGGTCAGGGTGGGCTTCTGGGGACATTTCATGCCAGCTTCTCGATCTGAGCACAGCAGTCTGAGTCCCAGTCCCTATACGGCCCAAGAGTAATGGCACGAGATACCACATTTTCTTTATCCATTTGCTGGCGGATCGACAGATATTTGTGCTCCTTTCGGTTTTTGGCTACTGGAATTTAGATTCTCCGTGGGGTGACCAGGACAGAAGAAAAGGCTATGGGCAGGACAAGGAGAAGGACAGGTCTGGGTGGCAAAGTGGACGGCACAGAGGTGACAGCACATGCTGGGAACAGCCAGAAAGAGGACTTCGGTGGCCCTCTGCCCACCCCACCCTGCTGCCATCTCGCCCTCACCGCCAGACACCCCGCAGGCCAGGCAAGCACTCCCGTTCCACTTTCACAGAGGAAACCAGGTCCCAGGAGGGGACTCTGGACCCACGTGGCCTAGAACGCTCCCTGCTGTACCAAGGTCGGCGTGGGCACTTAGCTGCTGTGCGGAGGCTAAAGATGCCAGCATGGGTGGTCAGCGGGGCCCGGCTTCCTTCTCCAAACGCTAAAGGGGGTTCTTTGACAAGGCCTCACATGCTTCGTGGCCCAGCGTTCTGGAGGGGACAGATGTCGGCCCTGCCTGGGAAGGCAGCCTTGGGAGACTGGGGGTCCAGCCACATCCACGCGTGTCACGGTCTTAACCAAGCCGGGTTACAAACTTGTGAGAGAAAACAGTGTCTTCACCACTTTGAAACAGCAGCCATCGCCACTGCCACAGCAGCCTATGGCTTCATGTGTCCCCACAGAGGAGCAGAAATACTCGACTCCAAGCTGGAAAGGTGCTTAGCTCACTGCTTTGTAAGTGGTGTCCTTTGTAACCCTATTTTATTTTTTGGCTTCAAAGATCACTCTGAGAAGGGGCCCCAGGATTTACTGGACGCAAAGTGCTGAGAACTCAGCCCTACTCAGATGCATGAAGGGAGGGCCTCAGGGGCCAGGAGGGGCCGACGTCAGGCCTGGGCTGCCATGACCATCAGCTCCCACAGTCTGAGGGATGCAGACTCACAGCAACCACTGCCCCTCCGGTGCTCGGCTTACAGCCTGGCTCAGCTCTCCATCTGGCACCTGCAGGCCTCTGGGATCCACCATCCCAGCGCTGCCCGCCAGGCTGTCACCGTCTGGAGATGGGTGTCGGGACTCAGTCAGGAGGGGAGGCCTAGATCGTGTCTTGGCGCTGCCCCGCACAGGCTGGACTAACAGTAGGTACCGAAACTACTGCTGGCTGGGGTGTTGCACTCAGCACGCACCAGGTTCGATCCCCAGCAACGCGAACAGAGCGTCATCAGCTCCGTGATTGGCTGGGCGGTAAAGGGCAGGAGGACCCACCACCCACCCACCGTCACCTGCCCTTCACCAGGCCTCAGTTTCCCCACCCAAATGCCAACAACAGTCCCTGCAGTTTGTGCCAACACATTTCTCGGAGTGGGTGGGCCCGGAGCCGGAGTGTCACCTCTGAGTCTCGCTAAGCTCACTTTCCCAGCCCCGGCCCCAGAACTGCGAGCTGTGGGTTTCTCCTCGACACTGCCCACAGCACCATCTATCTGCCCACCCTTCAGCTGGGCACCTGTGGGGTTCAGAGCCATCCTCGCCCAAGTCACAGCCAGAGCCTAAGCCCAAGGAGGTCCTGTCTGCCCACCCAGTTACAGGAGGGAAACTGAGCCATCAGGGTGACAACTGTCTCTTGTCCATTTCCTCTGGGGCTGAGGCGCAGCATAGGAACAAGAGGGGCTTGAAGCTGGCCACTACGGCCTGGCAGACTGCGCCTGCCTGTGGTGCCATCAGCACATCACATGGCTGGGCCCTGTGCAGATGCGTTAACCAGAACTCCTGATCAGTATTCACAGACAGGATTTTACTCGTGCCATGGCTCAGGAACTGAGTGCATTATTAAACTGAAAACCAACCAAAGGGAGGAGTGGCAGAGACAGCACACAAGTGGGGCAGGGAAACAGGCAACGGCATCTGCAAGGCACTGAGTGCTTCCTGAGTGAACACACGCGGCCACGCAGCCCGCCATCAGGCTGGGAGGTGGCAGCATTGGCAGAATCACAGCATCCACTTCCGGGTGGAAACTCGGGGCTCTGAGCACCGCAGGGGTATGAGGTGCCCGGCACGACAAGGGGGTCGGGCAGGTGCTGGCCCACCGGACAATGGCCTGTCATTGTCCAATGACTCCTATGACCTGTGCGGAAGAGGCCATGTGACACCCACTGTCCTGCTTGAGAAGGCAGGGGACCAGGTGCGCTGGTGCATGCCTATAATTCTGGGAAGTCGAGGCAGAAGGATCCTAAGTTTGAACCCAGTCTGCACAACTTGGGAATTTAGCAAGACTTTGTTTTGAAATAAAAAATAAAAAGGGCCAGGGATATAACTCAGCGCTAAAACCCTGGATTCAATCACCACTGCAGGGGTGGGGGAAGTGGGTACTGATCTGTCTGTCATGCTTTCCAGGTAGTCACTGCAGTCTCTGAAAGACACAAGGTCCCGGAGTTGGGGGACATGGCAGGACCCCCACTTCCCAGGCAGCCGAATAGCTGGGACAGAACTGTGTCCCTTTAAGCACACTGTGGGATGAGATCCTAACCCACAGAACCAGCCAAGAGCAACAGGGGCGGCAGGGACAGGAGCAGGAGCGTCAAGGAGGGTCAAGGCTCAGGGGCTTGGGCACCCTAGGGCCAGGTGCCAAGGGCAGGCTGTGCAGTGAAGGGCGCAACTGTGGCCCGAACTGACACGGGCTGGAACCGCCGCCCCAGCACACCTGGGCCTCCGGAGGGCGTCGTGTGGCACCGTGTTCCCCAGGGCCAGGCTGAGGGGCAGAATCCTGGCTCCCAACTCACACTCTGCTTCTGGCTAATGTGACTGACCCTGTGCCCAGCCAACTGGCCCTGGCAGGGGTGTGGCACTGGTCCCGACACCCCTTCGGAGAGTCCTACAGGTTTCCTTCCACCCTGGAAGCAGCTCTGCTGCCCCCTGGGGCGGGGCAGGCATTCAGCAGTTTGTGCAGAGCACGGGGGTGGGGTGGAGAGTGCAATGGCACACACTGGCATGCAAGGTGTGCCCATGTGTGTGCAAGGGGCCTGTGGGCACACGTGCCTGTGAAGGGCAGGCCTCAGACATGTTTGCTCAAGTTTGAATCCTAACTTATGTAGGGGCCGAAGTCCAAGTGGCTGCCTAAGGAGGGGGAGGTGCGTGTGTGTGTGTGTGTGTGTGTGTGTGTGTGCGCGCGCGCGCGCGTGCTGGGTACACACAGAGCTGGGAAGCAGGCCTACAGCCAGGTGTACCACCTATAATCTCAGCACTCAGGAGGCTGAGGCAGGAGGATTGTGACTTCAAGGTCAGCCTGGGCTACACATCAAGTTCAAAGCTGGCTCGGCTTATGTAACAAGTCCTTCTCCAAAAATTTTTTAAAAAAAGGCAAAAAGCAAGTCTGCACTGGAGATGGACTTGCAAGGGTAATGGCTTGGGGTTAAGAACCATGTTCCGATCCACAGCTCCCTCTGTCCCTCTGAAGAGCATCTGCAGACTCAGGCGATAAGGGACATGTGCCTAGGAAGAGCGGGGCCAACAGCAGGGCCACCGCTCCGCCGGCAGATGGAGCTGATGGAAGGTGGGGTGGCCCCTCAGGAACCTAAGCACTTTCCACACCCAATTCCATGTCCAGCTCTGTGATCCCCGGAGATGGGCACCATTACATCTCTCTTTACAACGGAAAGCAGCCCTCTGCCCCAGCCAACAGCCAGGAGGTGGCAGGACTGCACCACAGGGGCCCAGGCCTGTCAGGCTCGGAAACTGGAGCCTGGCTCTGCTCTCCCACTGCTCTGGCTGGCCTGAGGGGGAGCCAGAGCAGAGGAGGCACAGGCAGGGATGGGGCTGCTACAGCACCTGGCCCCCTGCATGTGGCGCCCGGCCACTGGGGGGCGCTGCAGCTCACCCCCCCCACCCCCCACACACTGGGGGGCGCTGCAGCTCACCCCCCACCCCCCACCCCCGGTTGTGCCAGTCCCAGGCAGTGGCTGCCCTGTACACTGTGGCTCTCACAAAGGGACACCGAGAAACCTGATGCTGACGCTGGGCTTTGGGTGAGCGGCAGTTGGAGGTCAGCCTCAGGTGTGCACACGGGAGCAGAGAGGTCCACAAGGACAGCCTGGATGCTGGGGGGCGGTAGGGACTCAGACCATTCTGCCAGCCCAGAGGTCCCAGCGGATCATGCACCAGGGAATTGCAGTGGGGAGGGCCCAGGCAGGAGTATCATACCTGCTCCCTACTGGCTGAACAACCTTACTGTGCCCCAGAGGCCACTGCTGAGAGCTGAGGTCCCAGCTGGGGACCAGGAGCCCAGG